TAGAAGTTAGCAACTGTTTCTGATAAGACAATAATTTGAAGGAACAGGGGGAAAAAATGGTATAAATATGAAATTTAAGAAAGTTTATGTCAAACTCACAAATGTTGCTAAGCCTCCCCCATCCCACCCCACCCCACCCTCAGGGAAGCACAATATTATTAAATCATAGTCAAATAGTCCCAATAACCCAAGGACTCACAGAATGTGTTTTTGCATATCTGACTCTCTGACACAGTTGAACCACTATGCCTTTAAATCAAAACTTTAAAATCATAATCATCCTCATTTGACGTCTTTGCAAGATGTAGCGTATTAAGTTTATAAATATAATTCAATCCATTTCTTCATGACTACTGTCATTCTGCGGTGAACCTTCTTCACCGTACTGCACTGTTGTGACAGCTGGCACACCAGGACAAAAAATAAGTCTTGTTCATTTCCATTCAGTACCACAAACATTTGTGTATTTCACTCTCCAAGCCAGACATGATGCTGAGTTCTAAAAATAGAGTCGATGAAACCTGGGCCCTACTATATCCAGGGTTGCTCATTCTCACTAAAGGAACATGAGAGCATGTGGGATGTACCATGAATGGCCACAGACAACTGGCCTTGGAAATGAGCAAGAACTAGATCAGGAGAGAATCTGAACTTGACCTTGCAGTACTTTACACAGGGGACTAACCTGGTCAGGTTCAGAGTGCAGAATGAACCAAGGAAATTCAAACCTGGAGATGAGACAACTATGGAGAAGTCTGCTCCAGTCCAAACAAGAAATGAGCTGAGGTAGCAACAGATTTCAGAAGGTAGAACCAATAGGATATGACATCCATCTTAATGATGGAATAAAGGAGGAATCTAGGATGACTTCCCAATCCTTTGCTATGGCAACTAGGTAGATATGCCATAAGCCAAAATGAGAAACTCAGAAAGAAAAGGTTTGAGAGGAGATGAACTGAGTTTGGCTTTTCTTATTACTATTATTATTACTTGGTTGAAGCATAGTTGATTTACAGTTCAGTCAGTTCAGTTCAGTTGCTCAGTCATGTTCAACTCTTTGTGACCCCATGGACTGCAACACGCCAGGCCTCCCTGTCCATCACCAACTCCCGGAGTTTACTCAAACTCATGTCCATTGAGTCAGTGATGCCATCCAACCATCTCATCCTCCGTCGTCCCTTTTTCCTCCCGCCTTCAATCTTTCCCAGCATCAGGGTCTTTTCCAGTGAGTGAGTCAGTTCTTCACATCAGGTGGCCAAAATGTTGGTGTTTTAGCCTCAGCATCAGTCCTTCCAAGGAACACTCAGGACTGATCTCCTTTAGGATGGACTGGTTGGAACTCCTTGCAGTCCAAGGGACTCTCAAGAGTCTTCTCCAACACCACAGTTTAAAAGCATCAATTCTTCAGTGCTCAGTTTTCTTTATGGTCCAACTCTCACATCCATACATGACTCCTGGAAAAACCATAGCTTTGAATAGACGGACCCTTGTTGGCAAAGAAATGTCTCTGCTTTTTAATATGCTGTCTCAGTTGGTCATAGCTTTTCTTCCAAGGAGTAAGCATCTTTTAATTTCATGGCTGCAGTTGATTTACAAGGACCAGGTATATAGCAAAGTGATTCAGTTATATATATATGCAAATTCTTTTCCATATCCTTTTTTATTACATTATTACAAGATATTAAGTATAGTTTTCGGTGCTATACAGTAGGTTCTAGGGTTTGTTTGTTTGGTCTTTACATGTGTCTTTATCTGGCCATGTTGGGTTTTAGTTGCAGCATGCAGTCTCTTGCATGAGACATGTGGGCTTCTCTCTAGTTGTGGTGCACAGGCTTAGTTGCCCCGAGGCACGTGGGATCTTAGTTCCCTGACCAGGGATCGAACCTGCATCCCCAGCATTGGAAGGTGGATTCTTAATCACTGGACCGCCAGGGAAGTCCCAGTAAGTCCTTATTGTCTATCTGTTTTACATAGAGTAGTGTATATCTGTTAATCCCAAACTCCCAATTTATTCTTCCTCCTTTTTTCCCTTGGGTCACCATAAGTTTGTTTTCTATGTCTGTGAGTCTGTTTATGTTTTGTAAATAAACTCATTTGTATCTCTTTTGTTGTGGATTCTGCATATGAATGATATCCTATGATATTTATTTTCCTCTGAGTTAGGTTTTTGGCTGCCCAGTATGCAGGATCTTAGTTCCCAACCAGGGATCAAACCTGTGCCTCCTGCAGTGGAAGCACACAGTCTTAACCACTGGAGCATCACGGAATTCCCTGAGTTGGCTTTTTAATTCATTTTTTTGACAAATGTTTATTGGTCACCTGGCACCCAGTAGGTGCCAGGCACTGGGTTGGAGCTATGGACATGATGGTAGAGAAAAGAAGGCATGATCCCTGCCCTCTTGGAGCTTAGGAGAGAGGGTTACCTGAGTAATCAGGTAAAGATATTTATAACTTCAAGTGTGACGACTTCAAGAACAGGGAAGAACATGGTGCCATGAGGGACGATTCCTGGGGAGTCTCACCTCTCCAGGGAAGTCAGAGCAGCTTCCTGAGGAATCTGAGTTGAAGAGTCGCGACAGGGAGCATGGGTGAGAGTTTGCTAAGTGAGGGAGGGAAGAAGGATGTTTTCGGAGGGAACAATGCCTGGGGGCTCTTGGGTGGCTGTGTGGTAGGTATTTTCAAGGAACTCCAAGAAGACAGTGTGACTCGAGCAGGGAGGGCAGGAGATAAAACCAGAAGAGTGGGTCGACGCCAGGCCACAGAAGGCCCTGGAAGCAGGCCTGGTGTTCAGCCAGTCTGCTCCAGTGTAACACTCTTCTGAAAAGTGTGAAAGTGTTAGTCGCTGGTGTGTCTGACTCTTTGAGACCCCATGGACTGTGGCCCGCCAGGCTCCTCTGTCCATGGGATTCTCCAGGCATGAATACTGGAGTGGGTTGCCATTCCCTCCTCTAGGGGATCCTCCTGACCCAGGGATCGAACCTGGGTCTCCCGCATTTTGTGCAGATTCTTTACCATCTGAGCCATTAGGTAAGTCCAACACTCTTCTGAAGCGGATGGTAAATAGCTCCTGCGCTAAGCTCCTGAGTACCGCTCCAAGATGCTGGCGTCTGTTCTGATGGTCAGTAATTGCACAGTGTTGGTTGCTAAATATTTAGATTTTTTTTTTTTTTTGACTGCACCAGGTCTTTTAGTTGTAGCACGCAGGATCTTCGATCTCTGGTTGCAGCATGCAGGACCTTTCACTGTTCTTTGTGAATGCTTAGTTGTGCCATGTGCGATCCAGTTCCCTGGCCAGGGATTAAACCAAGGCCCCCTGCATTGGGAGTGCAGAGTTTTAACCACTGGACCACCAGGGATGTCCCTATTTAGACTATTTTGAATACAACCCCTGTTTATAGGGCATGTAAGAGGTTAGTGTTTATTCCGAGAATAATGGGATATCTTTGAAGATGGTGGCATGATCAGATACATGTTTCGAAAACACCAGTTCAATTGCAGTGTGAATAACAGATTGAGAAAGTGGCAAAGTGGAGATGGGAGACCAGTTAGTAGTCTTTTTTTTTTTTTAATTGAAGTAGAGTTGATTTCCAATGTTGTGTAAATTTCAGGTATACAGCAAAATGATTCAGCTAATATATATTATATATTTTCAGATTCTTTTCCCTTATAGGTTATTACAGAATATAAAGGATAGTTCCCTATGCTATACAGTAGGTCCTTATTGATTATCTATTTTATATATTAGTATATTAATTAATATATATTAATTAGTATATATTAATCCCAAACCCCTAACTTATCCCTCCTCCCAGTTAATAGAGGGCTTCACAGGTGAATCAGTGGTAAAGAACCTGCCTGCCAATGCAGGAGACACAGGTTTGATCCCTGGGTTGGGTCGATACTCCAGAGGACGAAATGGCAACCCATTCCAGTATTCTTGCCTGGGAAATGCCTTGAACAGAGGTGCCTGGAAGGCTACAATCCATGGGGTCACAAAGAGTCAGACACAACTGAAGTGACTGATCATGCCTGCATGCCAGTTAACAGACTCTTGTTCACCCGGTCGTGTGTTAGGGTGGTAACTGGGGTTGAGATGGAGAGAAACAGGTTCAAGAGATAAAGATATCCCAGTCAAAATCCCAGCAGGCTTTCTTACAGAAATCGACAAACTGATTCTCAAATCTATAAGGAAACATAAAAGGTCTCAGATCACCAGAATGATTTTCAGAAAGAACAAAGTTGAAGGACTTACACTACCTGATTGCAAATCTTTCCATAAAGGCACATCAATTAATTCAGAGTTATATTGGGAGAAGGATAAACATGGATTTATGACTTGACGTTTTCTGAATTTCCTTTTCCGGATTGTTCACTGCTAGTATGTTGAAGTACACCTGACTTTTGCACGTTGATTTTATAGCCTTAAAATTTGTCAAATTCATTTATTAGCTAGCTCTAAACTTTTTTTGTGGATTCCTTAGAGTTTCTACATAAAACACCATGCCGTCCTTGAAGGGAGATAGTTTTACTTCTTTCTTTCCACTTTGGAGGTATTTTATTTCTCTTTATTGTCTGACTACTCTGGGTTAAAATTTCCAGTACTGTTGTTGAATGGAAGTGGTGAGAGTGGGCATCCTTGTCTTGTTTTTGATCTTGGGAGAAAAGCTTTCAGTGTTTCACCATTGACTATGTTCTTTAGTCGATAAGTTATGTCCCACTCTTTGCGACCCCATGGACTATAGCCCCCCAGGCTCCTCTGTCCGTAGGATTTCCCAGGCAAGAACACTGGAGTGGGTTGTCATTTCCTTCTTCAGGGGATCTTCCCAACCCAGGGCTCGAAACTGCATCTCCTGCGGCTCCTGCATTAGCAGGAGGATTCTTTACCGCTGAGCCACCAGGGAAACCCCACTGAGTATGTTAGCTGTGGGCTTGTAATATATGGCCTTTATCCTGTTTATTTCTAGTTTATGAGGTTTTTTTTTTTTTATTATATAAGGTATTGGAATTTGCCAAATGCTTTTCCTCATCTTGTGTATATGATGTGATGTTGTGTAGGAGATGATCATGTTTTTTTTTTCCTTCATTCTATCACTGTGGTGTACTGATTGATGTTCTTATGTTGACCTATTCTGGCATTCCTGGGGTAAATCCCACTGACCAACTGATCTTTGACAAAGGCCCCAAGGTAATTCAGTGGAGACAGGATAATTGTTCAATGAATGGTGCTCACAAAGTTGGACATGCTTGTGGAATAAAAACAAACCTTGACCCTAACCTCACACCATAATAAACAAAAAAAATGTCAGATTTCCTGTGGGGCAGGAATTTAATAGTGGCTTAGCTGAGTGGCTCTGGTTCAGGGTCTGTTATGTGGTTCCCATCAGGAGGTCAGCTGAGGCTGCAGTCATCTGAAGGCTTGACTGGGGTTGGAGGATGCCCTTCAGAGATGCTGAACTCACGTGGCTGTTGGCAGGAAGCCTCAGGTTCTCACTCAAGGAGATTTCCTTGCAGCATGGCAGCTGCCTCTCCACAGAGTCAGCTGTCCACAAGAGGGAACAAAGAACACAGCATCTGTCACAGCCAGGTCTTGTATCATCACTTCCCACTTAATCTGTTTATTAGAAGCGAGTCACTGAGTTCAACACACATTCCAGGGGAGAGGAATTTGACCCCACCTCTTAATGGAAGGGGGCTTCCCTGGGGGCTCAGCTGGTAACGGATCCGCCTGCAATGCGGGAGACCTGGGTTCGATCCCTGGGTGGGGAAGATCCCCTGGAGAAGGGAAAGGCTACCCACTCCAGTATTCTGGCCTGGAGAATTCCATGGGCTATATAGTCCATGGGGTTGCAAAGAGTTGGACATGACTGAGCGACTTTCACTTTCACTTAACGGGAGGAGCACAAAACCTTTATGGACATATATGAAAGCTACCACATGGAATATTACCTCCAGGGATGACTACAGTTCAGAGGTTGCCATCTCTCTGAGTAGAGAGAAGTGAGATACAGCACATAAACTATTGTACAGTTTTACCTATGTGAATAACATGTTTTAAAGAATGACAGCTGATTTTGGTAGAACCCATATCATTACTGACTTTAAAATTAGACAAAGAAGCAAAACTCTTTGCATCTTATTATTTTCTTTAAGGCTATCAATCAGGATAAAAAACTGACATACTCAGAAAATTCATCTCTCAACAAAGTGCTGCTTTCAGATAAGCTTATTGAAAATAATCTTAATATACTTTATGTAATGAGCAGCGCCGTAACATACTGATTATCCATTATAGTTGCAATTGGAAATATTTTTTTTTTTTTTGGAAATGTTTTAACATTATTCATTAGCATATTGAACTCCCTGTGTGTTAAGTGTGTTTATATAAGGTAAAAGTTTTGAGAACTTTAAATCCAGGCTAAAGAAATTCTTGAGAAATCCTTTTTAGAACAATTTGTTTTGCATTCTTTTTTGACATCTATTTCAGTCCCCAGTTTCTGTTACTAAAAAGTATTCATTGAGTTCTGATTTGATATCATGCTTTTCCTGCAATAACTATTCCATATTCAGATGTTTTGGCTAAAACATTGCCCCAAAAAAGGCACCTGTTTTTTCACATGCATATAGCCTTAACCATTTCTTCTCTCTAAACAGCAAGAAATCCTAATTAATGTGAACATAATAATTTTTCTTCTACAATATTTCCATTATATTTAACTTCTTTTTCCCTGTGTCTAACATAGGATCAAGAATCTTTATTTTACCACAGGAGAAAATCTTCAGGATCTAGGACTGAAGGGTTTCTCGACTTGACCTCAGAAGCACCATGCACAGAGTAAATCTGATAAACTGGATATCATCCACATGAAAACCATTTGCTTTTTGAAAGACAAGAGGATGAAAAGACAAGAAGCCTAGAATTGAATGCAGCAGTGATACAAACCATAAGAACCTGTGCTTACCTTAGAGGTCCAAACAAAGTACTATGAGAATACAAAGGACAACGAGATTAATTTCAGCCAAGGAAATCTGGAAAGTCTGATGAAGTAAGAACCAAACTAGGAATCAAAAGACAAGTCAGTAGGATTGTAACAGACGGACCCAAAAGTGAGAAAAGCATCTAAGATAGAATCAGCAAAAGCTAGAAGGAAAGAAGGGCTTCCCTGGTGGTTCAGTCAGTAAACAATGTGCCTACAATGCAGGAGACCCAGGTTCAACCCCTGGTTTCGGGAAGATCCCTTGGAGAAGGAAATGGAAACCCACTCCAGTATTCTTGCCTGGAGAATCCCATGGACAGAGAAGGTGAAAGGAATGATACAGGTGTGGGAAAACATTGTAGTAAAGGAAAGGATGGGCTTCCCTGGTGGCTCAGATGGTAAAGAATCTGCCTGCAGTGCAGGAGACCCGGGCTCGATCCCTGGGTTGGGAAGATCCAGCGGAGAAGGAAATGGCAATCCAGTCCAGTATTCTTGCCTGGGAAATTCCATGGACAGAGAAGCCTAGTGGGCTATAATGGGGTCTCAAGAGTTGGACACAACTTAGCGACTAAACCATCACCACTACCAGAAGGAAGGAAAGCGCAAGAATGTTGATACCATGAGTGACCCAGTGTAAATTCCAGGGTATGGGAGGAGCCAAGTGGGGAGTGAGCCTGGATAGGGGATTGGGGACAAATTATGGAAACCAGTGTAGTGGAGACAGAGCCCTGTTCCCAAATAGCTCACAGCTAGAAAATGCTGGTTCTGGGAAGAGGTGCAGAGAATGCTCACAGATGTGAACTCTGGATGTCCAGAAAGATGGGATTGTTTGGCCAGGGGCCATCATGCAAGACACTCGTCTGCTCCTGCTGCAGGGGAGCCAGAGGGAGTTATGTGTGACACCTTCTGTGTGCGCCCCCTCTTCTGTCTGCTGTCAGGCCCAAGCCTGGGTACCTGAGTCTGTCTGTTCCCCACGGTGTCTCTTCCTTGCTTCTTCCCATAGTCGTTCTCAGACCAAGGGTGGAGCTGGAGAGGCTCCTTACAGCAGCTAGTGGGGTTGACCCCATCAGTGCAAGATGAGAGCCACCCTGTGGCCCATGTCTGAGCTGTGGCATCGTAGCTGCAAGAGGGGAAAGCAGATCAGTTAGCAAATGGTTTATGAAGTGCTCGCTCAAGAAACAATCACAGTCAATGCTTTATTTTTCCCAACTCTCGATACCCCGGGATTTCAAACAATCACAATATTTTTGACCATTAGAGTGTGTTTATACCTGCTCTTTACATCTCCTCGCCTAATTCTATCAGGAACTTAAGCATCTGTGGTTCAAAGTAAATTTTACCCCACTGCCCATTTCTTCCACTTGGCCTTGCTGGCATGTTCAGAATAGAAATCAGTTTGCATCATCCAGGTAGCGTGGGCTAATTTAAAGGCAAGTAAGTCAGCAAACTTAACAATGATAAGGGAACCAGATTGCTGGATATTTACCTAGTTCCAATCTTTAAAAGGCCGGGGTGGCTGGAAGAGAGAAAGAAAATATCATTGACAAAAGAATGAGAAAGAGGGACTAGCTTCCCATACAGGAGGAAAGTCTGAAGGCTTCCTTGGGATATTTAGTAGCTGGTTTCCCACCTGTCTTCTGTCTCTTACTCACCTACCAAGTTATGGGGCAGCTGGGAGGGCAGGATGGGTGTAATTCTTGTTCTCATCGTGGTACACTGAACTGCGTAGGCTCACAGCAGCAGACTTGGACGCGATGGCGTTGATAGAAAAGCCGAACACCTGCCAATGGCCTTGTGGCTGCTGGGGTGCAGCAGTGGCTGATGTCATTGACTTCAGTTTCTGGGACATTATCAGCAAAAATCAAATGTAACTCTCATTGTACAAAAAACCGTTTGGTTCCTGAATTTATTCTGCTCTCAAAGCTAGCTAGGAGCTCCTTATCCACATTCTAAGTCTGAACTGAATTTTTTAATTTAATTACATACATTTTTAAAAATTAAATTAAAAAGTTAAATACATTATTTTTTCAAACAGTCAGAGAAAGTCTGCAAATTTCAGAGAGCTTGCTTCACTTCTCTTCCACAGAAAAAAACTAATGGAGTGGGAAGTAAAATAATTTCTCTCACAAAATGGTAGTATAATATCTTTTTTGATTATTATCTGTTCATTGAGAACTCGGGCCTACAGTCTCCTTTGATGTTCATTTCTTTTTTACCCCCAAAGTGAATGTTGAGCCATAAAGCAAATGACCTTCCAGACCAAGAAAACCTAGCTCTAAGGTCATTGGAATTTCTTCAATTCTCTGTACACATTCTCAAAATACTATTGCTTTTCTTTAAAAATGTATCATAAACGAATAGTGTTGAAGGGCTATAAAGTTTTTCTTGGCACAAATGTGGTATGACCTGGAAAACACACTTCATCATTCACAACAAGTATGTCCTCTCCAATTTATGCCAATAAAAACTTGGAATAATCCAAGATATACTTTACATGTATTACATTACATACAAGAATAGTGGCTCTAAATTGGAAACCCCATTTTTGGCAATCGAAAAAGAAAGTTCAAGGTGAAAGGCAATTTCTCAGCGGACTTCTGGCCAGCATTCATGCAAAAATATGAGGATAGAGTAGAGTAAGAAGAGGCAGAGGAAACTTCAGAGAGAAGATGACATGAGATTAGGGGTCCGGAGAATGACTCAGGGAGAAAGAAATAGTAAGGAGGACATTCTCAACAGAAGTCTCAACCAGGAGCCCCGACACTTCCTGGGGGGATCCCCTTGGGTTGTCACTGTGGCTGCAACCCAAGGTCCAGGAAGAGATGTGGCTGGAAGGGATACTGGGAAGGGAGGCAGAGATCACGCTGTGAACATTATCATTGAATGTCTTCCTTAGGGATGTGAAACCATTGAGAGATTTTTGTTGAATAATGACAATAATGTGCCTTTCTGTGTGTCAGGCATCCAACACCATGAAATGCTACAGCCCACCTTGATTTTTTTTATATTTAAAATAGAATATTTTATTTTTCCATTTATTTTTATTAGTTGGAGGCTAATTACTTTACAGTATTGTAGTGGTTTTTGCCATACATTGACCTGAATCCGCCATGGGTGTACATGTGTTCCCCATCCTGATCCCCCCTCCCGCCTCCCTCCCCATCCCATCCGTCTGGGTCTTCCCAGTGCACCAGCCCTGAGCACTTGTCTCAGGCATCCAACCTGGGCTGGCGATCCGTTTCACCCTTGATTGTATAACTTGTTTCAGTGCTATTCTTTCAGAACATCTCACCCTCGCCTTTTCCCACAGAGTTCCAAAGTCTGTTCTGTACATCTGTGTCTCTTTTTCTGTTTTGCATATAGGGTTATTGTTACCATCTTTTAAAATTCCGTATGTATGCATTAGTATACTGTATTGGTCTTTATCTTTCTGGCTTACTTCACTCTGTATAATGGGCTCCAGTTTCATCCATCTCATTAGAACTGATTCAAATGAATTCTTTTTAATGGCTGAGTAATTTTCCATGGTGTGTATGTACCATAGCTTCCTTATCCATTCGTCTGCTGATGGGCAAGTAGGTTGCCTCCATGTCCTGGCTATTATAAACAGTGTACAGCTCACCTTTAAAAACCATCCTATACAGTGTGAACTGTTCCCATTTTACAGGTGAAGAAGTTGAGGCAGAGACCGGTGAAATAGCTTTTGCAGGGTCCAACAGCCGTTAAGTGGTGGGGCCAACTCAGATCATCTAACCCCAGAGCCCAGGCTCTTCTGCTTCTTGAGGAAGTCAGCATCATATTCTGGGGTGGTGGTGGGGAACACAACTCCATGGCGACATGGAGGATGAGCTAGGAGAGAGGAGGCAGCGAGACCAGCAGAAGGCCATTGCGGCAGCGCAAATGAAAGCTAAGACAGGTCTTACCTGGATAGGGTTTGATGAACCAGTGGACATGGAGGTTGAAAAAGAGGGCAGAATAAATATAGCTGAGGCATCAAATTTTATACATATATATCTCCTGGTGGTTCCACTTCTATACATCTGTATCTTTGGCGTATCTCCTATTGCTTCTGTTTCTCTGGGGAACCTTGACGAATACAGTCCTGTATCACAAACTTGTGTAAGAATGTCTTCTAAAAGCTCACCCAGCGAGTGTGTGTGCGTGGGGGGAGGGGGGAGAAGGAGTGATGGAGTTGGAATTCACATTATGCAGAGGAAAAGAAAGGTTTCACTGAGGAAATTCCATTTAAGGTAGACCCAGAAGAATGAACTGTACTGGGGTGAGCAGTGATTCTCTTGGCTGTGCTAGGCTCAGCCGTGTCCAGCTCTGCAACGCCATGGACTGTAGCCCGCCAGGCTCCTCTGTCCACGGGTTTTTCCAGGCAAGAATACTGCAGTGGGTTACCATTTATTTCCTCCTCCAGGCGATCGTCCCGAACCAAGGATCAGACCTGCATCTCTTGTGTCTCCTGCCTGGTAGGTGGATTCTTTACCACTGTGCTACCTGGAGGTAAGCAGTGACTGGGGAATAACTGATACAGAAAGTGTGGTTAGAAGAGGAAACACACAGAGACCGTTCAGGAGTCCAGTTTGGATCTGGCTTGGTATGTGTAAGAAACCAGAGAGGAATAAGTCCATTGAAGCTGAGGTGTGGAGGGTGTTTTAATACTAGGAATGACATGTTTGTCATTCTTTTTGCAGGATATAGGGAATCATTAAAGACTTTGAGCAGGAAAGTGGCATCACTGGGTTTCATAGGGTAAACAATCCCCACTAATCCATGAGTTGGGTTCTAACTATTTTTTCAATAGACTATGTACCAGGAATTATGATAAATACTGTATGTATAGTAATAAAAAACACCTTCTCTGTATTCAAGAGGCTTATAACCTATGAGAGAGTGGGAAATAGAGAAAGGAAAATTATAATGCAATGTAGACAAACTCTTCAGTAAGTATTAATATATGGTATAAAAGAATCACAAAAAGCAGGCACCTGATCCCCATGTGGGTGTGGGGTTTGGTTGGTGTGTGTAAGGTCAGACAAAAGTTTCCTGGAAGAAGAGATTTTAGGGCAATTTTCTGAAACCCAATAATTTTCTCACAGACACAAGGTCGAATCATTAGAAAATGAGTTGCAATTCCATATGGCCCAACCTGATCGAATGTTACCATGGTGTTCAGGTCCCCAAAACTCTAAAGGCTATTTGATTCATGACTGTCTTACAGTAGTTTTTTTTCTGTCTTAAGGGTCCTCAAAAGAGGCTTAGGCCTTCTCAACGTGCAAAATCTGGACTTGAACAGATTAGACTTTATATGTCCTTCAGTCTCCTTTCCTCAGTCCCTTCTTTTGCTTATGGCTGTTCTCACCAGAACCTGACCCCAAGGCCTTCAGCCTGCCCTAAAGCACTGTCTATCCCCAAAACTTAATATGTCCCAAACCTTCCTTTCTTTAGCTGTTACCCTACACGGGTGAGAAAGAGTCCATCTGATTAAACTAGTCAGCGCTGATGTGTGAATCACTTTTGATTCACCATGGGATTCCACCATCCCAGAGCTATGTGAGTCTTTAAGAGAGGATACTAGGAATCTTTCTTTGGTGGAATTCCAGACAATAAAAATAAGGCCTTTGTGTATTTGTTTGTATAGGCCATTTATCAGTCAAGAGTTGAGAAGGTGGGGCTACCCATTCTGTATTCCCCATTCATAGTTACTTTGTGACTTTGGTTAAGTAAATTTTTGCTTCCTATTTTTATGGCTAGTTACATTTAATATCATTAAAATATTGTTTGGAATTTGGTGGACTAACATGAGCTATGAATTTTTTCTAATGAATTGAAGCCGAAGATTAAAAACCTACTTCTTCAAAAAGAACTTACGACTCATTATCCTAAATAGAAGAAAAAATAGAAGAAATCGTGTATTATTTCGTATCTTTCTTGATTGCTTCCTTTGAATGTTAAGCTGGTTGGATTACTCTACTTAGCATAGTACATGGGTAGTTATTTTCCTAAGAGAAGCTAGTTTGTTTTTTTAAAGCATACATAAAGTATACTTCATGATTTGCATTAAATAAGCAAATTTAATTGAAAAATCTGCTTACTTAGCTCCTCTTCCTTGAAATACATGATTTCAAAACAAGACGTAATACGTCAACAATGCTAACACCAGAAATTTTAAGATCATAACATTTGAAACTTTAACACAGGAAGGAGTAGTCCATTAAATCAGTGGTTCCCAAACTCAGGCCACCAGATTGGCCCTGGATAATTAGATCAGCAACATCATCACTGGCAGTGGTGCTTTAGTCCTAAGTCGTGTCTGACTCTTGCAGCCCCACGAACTGTACCTACCAGGCTCCTCCGCCCATGGGATTTCCCAGGCAAGGACACTGGAGTGGGTTGCCACTTCCTCCTCCAGGGGATCTTCCCGACCCAGGGATTGAACCTTATCTCCTGCATTGCAAGCGGATTCTTTACCGCTGAGCAACCAGCAAGAAAGTTCATGTTTAAGTTGTTATGTTCATAACAACCTCGTATGAGGTACTATTATCATCCCCAGTTCATAGGGGAAGGCACAGAGAGGTTAAGCAACTTGTTCAGAGTTACTCAGATAATAAGTAGTAAAGCCATGATATAAACTCTGACAGTTTCAAATTTCATCCCTTCCCTCTTCCCACCCAGTTTTGACTCCGTAGGTCTGGAATGAGCCCTGGAATCAGTGTTCAGATCCCCAGGTGATTCTGACGCAAAGACAGGTTTGGGAACTCTCTTGTTAAATGAGTTTAATTTGCTCTGGATGGCTAGTTTCTTACTCATATCTTGGAAACAATAGGTCATACGGCTCATCAAGTGACATGGTACCCTTTCAGATTTGACTAGTAAACAGCTATTCTGGAACACTGTTCCCTGTTCTTCAGGCACAATACTGAGGGGCCTGGTGGAAATAACACCTGACCAAGGACTACCTCCTTTAACGGCGCATGTAAGAGGTTGGCAATTGGAAGAATTCACAAAACCCTGTGCAGAAGGTACAAAGTAGGCTTCCACAAATTAGGCTTCTGGAAGTGGATGTGAGCTGGACATGAAAAAGTGAGGGTGATTTGCAGATGAAGGAAAGGAGGAGGGACCATTTCTGTTTGTTTCAGGAACAAAGGGAAGGAAGCGTTCACAAATGGTGATTCAAGGCAGGTATTTGTGGGCCAACAGTAGGTTTAATAGGATGGGATGAAGTTGAGAGTTCCTTCTGGGAAATGGTTGGAAAAAATTTGGAAAAATAAGTTAAGACAAGATTATGGTCCACTTTAGGCACGAGGTCAGAGTTTTGACTGAACCCTATAAACAGTGGGGAGCCACTGAAAAGTTTGAAACGATAAAGATTCAATGATGAAGGCATCAGTTGGGAATGAATCAGTGGGGCTCAGTCACTGTGCAGGCTGGAAGGACAGCAGAGATGAGAACCAGGAAAACCATTCAGAAGGTTAAAAGAACAATATAGGTGTGGGGAAACAACGTAGTAAAGGAATGGACTGACTTGCACTTGGGAGTCACTGTGTCAGGTTATGCCACCTATTAAGCTGTGATTCAGGTCAAACTGCTACTATTGGAGTCTTAAGTTTTTCTTTGGAAAGTGAGTGTGATGATGATAATGTATGTCCCCAGACTGAGCCAAAAGAGACAAAAGATTTCTTTAGGATGGTGATTAGCTCTGGGATGCAAGGTTCACGGGTCAATATACTGTTTTCAGGCCTATACGACTTTGAAACCACGGGGTTGCAAAGTCGGACACAACTGAGCAACTGAACTGAACTGAACTGATGACTTAGAAAATGTCAGAGTTATCAACCACCAAATAGGGCGGTCAGTAAATCTCAACTATACAGAAGACAGGGAAAGAAAGGGATTAACACTGTTTCAGGAAGTATGCTGGGATAATGAAGGAATTAGGGACTAACACTGTTTCAGGAAGTATGCTGTGACTCTGAAGGAATTACTCTTCACAACAACCTAATAAGGTAAGTATTTTAATCCCCATATAAGTTGGCTTAACCAAGACAAAAGATGGTAGTTTGAGTTTAAATATAAACCGAGGTCTGCTTAAACTTAAAACATGGGCTTTTTGAACTTCATCATATTGTTTTAGGTTTGCAAAGTTATATTTTATCCTAGTTTTGACCTAATATTCTAGTCAAGACTATTTTGAATTTTGATTCTAACATCTATAAGTTAATTACCCCTCCAAATGCTGGGTCATCTGACAGGCGGACAACATCAGTTTTGCTGAGATTGGGGAGAAGATGGGGAAGGAGTTTTGGAGTGGAAAGAGAATAAATGGTTAGGTAGGAGGCAAGGTTACCTGTGCAGAGCAGAAGTGGTACAGATGCAACCTGGTTATGAAGTGGACATAAAAGTCAATGGTGTAGCCTTAAAGCTAGGAATAATAGTGCAGATGAGTGGAGAGTAAAGGCTGGAAGAAGTTAAGAACCAGGGATTGAGGCAATGAGAAGTGGAGAGGAAGGTAGAGATGAACTAAATCCTTCCATTAAGGAAAAACAGAAGTTGGAAGAAACAAACAGCAAAGGGAAAGTTGACCCATTCAGTTCAAGTGTTAGATGTGGTGAGTCACAGAGAGAACGACCATATTGAATGATGAGATGGGAGAGGACAGGTTAGGGAAACGGGAGATGAGCTAGCTTGTCCTCTGGGGAAAGCACACGGAAGTGAGGGTCTCAGAGAAACCATGTATGTGCAGTCTCCCATATATGTGTACAAGCCTTCCATTTTCACCTCAGTCCTCCCATGTGCCATGAGAAAGTTAAGTACATCTAAGCTGCTTTTGAGTCTTTAGAAGCATAGGATATTTGTTGCTGTTCAGTCGCTCAGTCCTGTCCAACTCTTTGCAGCCGCATGGGCTGCAGCATGCCAGGCTTCTCTGTCCTTCACCATCTCCCGGAGTCTGCTCCAGCTTATGTCCACTGAGGATATAAAGCACTAATTTAAAAATCCTTAAATAGGCTGAGATCATATACTCTGTCCTTAAGCAGACTGAGATCACATACTCTGGTGACAGGTACAAACAAATGCCATACTTTCAAAGATAAAGAGTTGTTGCCAAAAGGCCACATTTCAATAGGAGGAACCACATATACAAATATCTCTTAGCTATTTCTTCTAAGAGACACCCATATTCCTCAGGAAATAGTGAGGGCTGTGGGAGTAGACCCAGGCTCTGGGCCTACCATTTCCACCCGAGGTGATACTTAATGTTTTAGTTTTGGAGCAAAACAGGAAGTTACACTCATCAAGTCTTTATCCCAGATAGCCTGAAATCTTTCCATGCTGAATTGTTCATGGACCATGGTATTAGAGCAGAAGCCCCTCCAAGTCCAAGCTTGCGCACCTGTGTACCCCCCGCCCCCCCCATAGGAAGCCAGGTGGCCATCTACGCTGCCAAAATTTGTATTTCAGGTACCCACTTGAGTTAATTTCAGATGAATGCGACGAACGACTCCACAGCACTGGTGAAAAGTCCTATTCAATAGTCATACCTCATCCCATCCATATATGTAAGATCTTCAATTCCATTCTTCATTTATCTTTACAGAGATTAATGGTAAAGTAAGTCTTTGTCGACGTTTGTTTAAAAAAGAGTGGGTTAAAGAGTTTAACGAGGGAAACTAATTTGATTTGATCTCCGAACCGATTTGAGAGAGACAGACAGACAGGCGCCGAGGAGCTGGGACTTTGAGGTGCCGATCCACGAGGCCGCAGGTGTCCTGGGGTTCAAGAGAATGGACGAGAATGGACGGCACGTTTCTCTGGAGTCTGCTGCGCCAGCCTTTCAGGGTCACTCGCCCATCTCTGACTTTTATCAGCCGGTCGGGGTATGGCTTTTGGTTATCCTCCCGGCCGGGGAGGTAGATCCAGCGGGTGTAGTTGTGATCCGTGTCGGTTGAGGGTGTGTGTGTACGCGCAGAAGCGGGGGAGGGCGGGAGTGTGAGACCCTCTGCTCCGGGGTGTTTCGGGCCGGTTTCTCCTCAGGCTGGGGCCCCGACCTAGGAAGGTGACCACCACCCCCACCCTCGTTCGGCCCAAAGTGGCGGGAAGCCGGGTCCTCAGAGGCGGCCCCCAAGGCCAGGGAGGCTGTAAAACCTGGAGGAGGATCCGGTGCGCCCGTCCGGGGAGGGCGCGGCGTCCACGGCCAGGGGCCCGCGGGCCTTTCAGGTAGAGAGCAGCCCCGCGAGCGGGGCCTCGGCGGCGCGGGGCAGCGGGCGGGGTGGGGAGAACCCGGGGCCGGGGCACGGCGGGCGGGAGCTTTCCGGGCCCCTCCCGCTCCTCGGGGCTGGTGGGGAGATGGCGGCGACGGTTTCCCGGCTCCCCCGCCCCGGACGCCGATGGCGGAGCGTTCCGGCCCTCCCCCACCAGCTTCTCCACCGCGGGAGCCGGAGCCGGTGAGGCCGGGAGGGCGGGGAGCGGCGGAGGGAAGGCGAGAGGGCGNCCCCCCCCATCACTGGGCGCCCGGACCCGCGCCCTCTTTCCCTCGGCCCCCCTGGGGACCCACCGCTCCCCCGAGCGTCGCTTGCTCCGACTCGTGCTCTCAAGTAAAGTACTGGGCTCGCGCGCCGGAGGAGCCGCGGAGCCGGCTCTCTCTGCTTTCCGGTTCCCTGCCCCGCGGCTCCCGGGTTTCCCCGCCCGCATTGTTGCGACCGTGCAGGGCGCTATTATTGGGTAACAGTCGACCCTTTGCCCGGTTCTCCTCGGGGAGCGGGCCCGGGGCGGCGCGCAGGGATGCGAGTGCGGCGGCCGAATCGGACGGAGCGCCCCCCCCGCCCCCCTCCGCGGCGCTCTCCGAGCGCCCGCGAGTCGGGCCTGCGCCGCCGCCTCGGCGCGCCCCCGGCCCTGCACCCGGCGGGAGCGCGCTGACCCCGCAGGTAACCCGAGCGCCGGCCGGCCGCGTGCAGGGGTCGCCCCACGCGCCCTTCCCGGCCCCCCGTGTGCTGTAGGCCGAGTGCTGGTGGTTCCGGGGAGAAACGCATGGTGAACGTTCCTTGAGCCTAATCTTCCAAAGTTGAGGGTTTTCTCCCTTTAGCGAGCTCTCTGCCAAAAATAGGATCCTCTTTTCGGATTGGATCACTGTCGTTGCTCACAGTTCGCAGCTGGAGTTGGTGGTGAGGGTGCAAATGAAGAATTGCAGTTAAGTATTTATTTGCTCTGTGTAATTGCTCTTCGCGCAGTGGCATTAAAACAGTCCAAGTTAGTGGAGTCAGGGGTCACACAGTTTTGGAAATGCACTTATTCGAGTGACTGAAGGGAATGAAATTCACTTTTACTTGAAACCCCCAGCTTTTAGACCTCAGCATAGCTTTAGCAGTGTGCAAAAGCATGGCCAGTTATAAGTTTAACGATTCATTTTGTGGCCACCCTATCTTACCTGGTTTTCTGAAATCCTGCAACGTTTATGGATTGTGTAGAAAAAATACAGAGCATTGTTTAAGAAGCAAAAAAAAAAAAAAAAAAAAATTTTTTTATCTAAAATATTTACACCTAACCTTCTCTTGATCTAAAAGTGTCCTTGGGTATTGGGGGAAAATTTACTTAAAAGTTCTGTTGCTTTCCCTGGTAAGTTGAAATAGTTGCAACGCATTTCAAATTCTGTGGCATGCACACAGGCTGCAGGAGACTGGCTTGCTTTAAGTCTATTATGCCCATTTTTGGAGGTTTTCTAGAGAGAATGGTCATTAAGCTCTAGAGGGTTGGCTGAAATACTCTCTAAAAATATTTAACTTTTTTTGTCATTGGAATCATCTTTTAAAAACTTCTTTTTATTTTCAACTTATTTTAACAAAAGGGGAAAAAAAAACCCTTTAGCTGTAGTATTAGGGCTTTTCACCAGTCCATGCTATCCTCTCATCACCGACTCAGTGGACATGAGTTTGAGCAAACTCTGGGAGCCAGTGAAGGACAGGGAAGCCTGGCGCGCTGCGGTCCGTGCGGTTGCAAAGAGTCGGACACGACTGACTGACTGCAACAGGAGCTCTTAGGGCCACTGATGCAGGTCCTTGGAGGCAGGCCCCCCTTTCCTGCTGTGCACCCAGCACATGGGTGACTGACAGCCTGCTGATACCTGGTGATATCCTGCAGTTTCCTTGGATGTTATAGCTCTGTCGACTCACAGCTCTAATATACATATATTACAGACATGTTGACCCCTTTGTCCCTTACTGATTATTATCCTCTAGAGATAATTACCTTAGTCTGGGTTGTCAATGCAGCCTTACTTCCCATACTTTACAGACTGAATTCCTTGAAGGCAGGACATAGTCTTTATTTTTTGCATCCCCAGAGGAGCATAGAACTTGGTCATGGGTACTTCATTTGCTTTTTGAATGAAGAAATCTGGAATAATTCTGATTTACACCCAGTGTCTGACCACCTCGGATTTTGGCTACAGAAGCAGTCACCGCACTTAAATTGGGTAAGAGTGTGAGCTTTTTTAATAAACTGTTCCTACCACATCCCCGGGAACTAACAGAGAGCTGGACGGAAAAATGCTCAGGCTTTCTTCGGCTCTGAAAGTTCAGGAAAGTGCCAAGAAAGCAACTTGTGAAACTTTAATTTCCTTCTTTTTCTTCAGAACTAGTTTTCAGTACAGATGTTTAAAATTTGTGTGTGTGTGTGTGTGTGTGTGTTTTAAAAACAAGATTGAGGTCTTTGCCTGGGGTTAAATGTCGCCGCCTTAGCTTCGAGGTGAAGTCCTTTGGTTGGTTGAGCCTCTTCCCTGTTGAGAGAGCTCTGACTCTGGGTCCTGGAGGCCCAGTGACCTTTGTCACAGGAGAGACCTTTCTTGGGTGCCTGAGTGCCTTCTGATCAGAAGTCCACTCCCAGTTTGCCCAACAGGCATAGGACGCCTTTCTTTCTGCAAGGAAAGTTCAAACGAACAGGCTTTAGACTGAAGAATAGTTACTTGCCCTCCTTCAAATTTAGGGTGCCAAAAATTGAAGCAGTGTGTTTGTGTTTTATTTTTTGCTGTTTCAGCCCTGCATAGGTTCCAAGGCCATGGGCCTTGGCAGTTGAGTCCAGACTCAGAATGAATTTCGAGCTTTTAGTTACACCTGGAGAAAAGAATGTAATGTTTTAAGGACCAGTTTGAAGTTTATCGTGTTTTGTGTGTGTGCTTGTTTTGGTGGGGTGCTATTGGGTCATTTCTCAACAAATTGTTTTCCTTTATTTGTCTTTCAAAACTGAGACACGAATGTGAGATGAGGAATAAACTTAAATAAAACCTTAAGGATTTTAAACTAAGGATTTTAAGCTTTGTAATCTGTCCAATTAATAATGCACACTATAAACACGATTATTGTGATGTTTGGTGGCTTTAAAACTTTTTATGCACAAGAATATAGCTTCTAGAAAAAACATACATGTGCTTTATTTCTTTCCGCTTGAGTATAAAACGTGTTGCTTGAGACAGAAGATGTAGGATGTCGTTGGATCTAGAGGTATAAAACTTCTTACTTCCTTATAAAGTGAGATGGTTTTCAGTTGACTTCAGTTTTCTTCAGGCGTTCAGAGTGTGTGGATTCCATGGGAATGCCATAGCTTTTAATGTTCACAACATTTGGACTGCTCCATAAAGCATTACCTTCTTCGTGTTTGAAAGCAGGGTTGTGACGCCCAGGCTTGGTCCTTGGGACCCTTGGATCAGGTGAGCGGAGTCTTTGCTGGGCCCCCCGTTGTGGCGGCCCCGCTGCCCTCTGGCTCTCCTTCGGCCTCCAGTACCGTGTCCCCTTCGCGTCACCCAGCAGGCTCCTGCTCCTGTGGAAAGGCTCCACTCAGATCCTGACACGCCATCTGCGGGGGGGGAGCCTTTCCTGGGCTCCCTGAGGCCCCGCCCGGTCACTGTCTAAGCACCTCACCTTGGCCTGGACCTGTGGTTTCTTTGGTTGGACAGACCTCTTGTAGGCGTGGGACCTTGTGACAGGCACGTGGCCTTCTTGCACGCGCACGAGTTAACTCCAGTAACTCACACTTTGCTCCTAAACATCCTCCCCACTTCGCATCCCGGGGCTTCCCTGGTGGCTCAGGTGGTAAAGAATCCACCTGCCATGCAGGAGACTCGGGTTCAATCCCTGGGTTGCGAAGATCCCCTGGAGAAGGAAACGGCAGCCCTCTCCAGTATTCTTGCCTGGAGAATCCCATGGACAGAGGAGCCTGGTGGGCTACAGTCCTCCGGGTCGCAGAGTTGGAAATGACTGTAATGACTAATACTTTCACATCTTGACCAAGCCCCTCGGGTTAGAGCTGCTGTTGTTTAATCCTCTGACAGCCTCTTGGGGAAGAAGCCAAGGCTTTGGGTGGTTAAGGTCAGGCCTACTCGGTGGCCGGTTCAGTTCATTCACTCAGTTGTGTCCATCTCTTTGTGACCCCGTGGACTGCAGCACACCAGGCCTCCCTGTCCATCACCAACTCCCAGAGTTTACTCACACTCAAGTCCGTTGAGCCGGTGATGCCATCCAACCATCTCATCCTCTGTCGTCCCCTTCTCCTCCTGCCCTCAATCTTTCCCAGCATCAGGGTCTTTTCAAATAGTCAGTTATTTGTGTCAGCCAGCCAAAGTACTAGAGTTTCAACTTCATCAGTCCTTCCACTGAATATTCAGGACTGATTTCCTTTAGGATGGACTGGCTGGATCTCCTTGCAGTCCAAGGGACTCTCAAGAGTCTTCTTCAACACCACAGCTCAAGAGCATCAATTCTTCGGTGGCCAGGCCTGAGTTAAAATGAGACGGTGACTCCAGGGCTCCAGCTTTTACCCAGGTGTTCTGATTTATATGAAGGTGGAAGAGAAGGAAGCAAGGTAGAAATGCTCTTCAAGATTGATATCTTCCTATTAATAATTAGGACAGAATTCATTATGCAGAACTGGGTTGCCTCCCAAGAATGAGCTTATTCTTCTTAGTCTTTTAGTAACTGGGGGACGTTAAAGGAGAGTGATTGGACACTTGTGGGACAGAGCTGAACAGCTCTGGACTTTGGGACTGTTGTGGAGTGAGATGTGACTCACTGGCCTTATAAAACCATTGAAGGCTGTTCAAATCTAGTAAACTGTGATTTTTTTAAAAAAGGCCTATGGCAGAGAATACTTTGAAAAAGAGATGAATGAGATGTGTGCATGTGTGTGTGTGCTGCCGAAAATATTTAAAATAATAAAAACGGTTGTGATTTTAGGATGGAGAACTTGTGTGCTTTTTTTTTTTTTTTCTATTTATTTTCATTAGTTGGAGGCTAATCACCTTACAACATTGCAGTGGTTTTTGTCATACATTGAAATGAATTAGCCATGGATTTACATGTATTCCCCATCCCGGTCCCCCCTCCCACCTCCCTCTCCACCCGATCCCTCTGGGTCTTCCCAGTGCACCAGGCCCGAGCACTTGTCTCATGCACCCAACCTGGGCTGGTGATCTGTTTCACCCTAGATAATATACATGTTTCAATGCTGTTCTCTTGAAACATCCCACCCTCGCCTTCTCCCAGAGTCCACAAGTCTGTTCTATACATCTGAGTCTCTTTTTCTGTTTTGCATATAGGGTTATCGTTACCATCTTTCTAAATTCCATATATATGTGTTAGTATACTGTA